TTATGCTACAATGCGCGCTTAGGTATCAAAAAATAGCCCTGAATTTCAGCTATTTTTTGATACCAAAGACGCATTGTAGCATAAACCAGTGTCGAGAAAAACTCGTTCAAAAGCTAGACCACGCAACACTCCACACCGTCATTATGGGGTGGGGTACTATTACAGTATTTACGGTAGGTGCTACCGTTTCAGGGGGACACTGATCAGCAGCAATGAATCGAATGATGCCATTTTAAAAGCTTTTAGGACAACTTGAGCTATTATTTGTTTGTTTAAAGATCACTTTTTTTTGTAGCGCCTATTGGAAGAAGAAGGGTTTGCCGGTCGAGACTATAAAACTTATAGATCTAGATTAGAAATCTAAATGTAAGGAAACGGGAAATGGATACAAAATGTGCAATCTGTAGACGTTGTTTAAGTCTTTTAGGCTTCAAAATAAGTAAAACTTGGAAAGTGAGCGTGAACAGGAGAAAATCTGTAATTTTACGCCAAGAATTCCATCTGTTGATCACAGCTGAGAAAAAGAATTTTGTTCTTTATTTGTCTTTTGAGCAATAGCCGTACGAATGACTCCAAACAACGCTCACAAAGGTGGATTTGGCTTCTCAGATTTTTACATTTAGGAAGTATAAAAAGCCTTCATAGCTAAAGGAGTTTTTCATTTTTGATAAAGGGTTTTCATTCAACTTTTTCATATTTTTCATTCTTTGGCTCAAAAATTCATGAACTTTAGGATCAGGACGACGACACGGGCACACAACGACGAAAATTGCGCTCTCGATGATGCGATTAATGTTAGCGGTAAGGCAGAGGGTTTGCTCGTCGATTCGCTCGATTCATCGAACAAATCTTTTCTTGTGGGGCGACTACCGAGATGCAAGATCCGAAAAGTGAGGAAGAAGTGGTCAACATCACCTACGTGCTGCGCGATGGGACTGAGTAACGAATTCGTGGGAAAATCCGGCGACAATGTGATGGCCAGGCAGCATAGACATGGCATCGAGTTGGAAGGAGCTTGTGAAGCCTCACTGGCTTGTTCTACGTGTCACGTATATGTTGATGAACCTTTTGTGAATCGATTAAAGAATCCCGTTGAAGAAGAGGAGGATATGTTGGATATAGCGCCCGCTTTACAGCCGAATTCCCGATTGAGTTGCCAAATCATTCTCAGCAAAGAACTTGAGGGAATTAAGGTCACTTTGCCGAAAATCACGCGTAGCTTTTATTGTGACGGTCACGTACCAAAACCACATTGGGATCATGTCATTTGATTTGCTTACTTTTTGTTTTAGTGCTAGATTTTGAAGATTCATTTACGAGTTTATTGTTGCTGTTTGTGTTTTCTGTGATATTTTATGGTTACTCGTTTAATATCAATTGTAAATCTTTAGACAGAAGAATGTCGTTGAATCTGATTGGTGATTATGACAGTGATGGAAGTGATACATCGGCGGCGAGCGATGGGTTTTTAGCTCAAATCAGGTGAGGGTTTACATTGTACTATTCTTGATACAATTTTGTTTTTAAGAGAGTGAGTGATGATGAGGAAGAGCCTTCTACTTCGGGAACCATCGACTGAACCTATTCAACGAATGTCTACATTGAAATCAGTATGGTTTTTATCTTTTGCTAAAAAATATATGTTTTACTTTTAAAACGTCAAAGAACATTTTATTTAGGCTCTACTTGGAGGGGATGACAGCGACGATTCAGACGGGGAAGCCGAAAATGAACAAGGCGCAATAAAGGAGACTAAAATAACGGTGATTTGCAAAATTTTATTCGATGAACTTCCATTTAGAAGCAGTACTATCTGATTCAAGGAACTTCGCAAGAGCAACTACCAAGCTTTGACCCTTCACGCAACACGGAATTGGTCAGTTGTTACATTGTGGCTGTATTGACAGTTTGAAATTTAGGAATGCAACGTTTTCTTGAATGACATCAAACGGGAGGAGTTCCTTAACAAGAAAATTCTTTCACAACACGTTTCGTTGACAGAGATCAAGATAGGGGATGACAAGCGAAAGAAAATGGGACCATGCAGGCAACATTTTAATTGATTGTTTTTTAGTTGATTGTAAAAATTAAAAAGTATCAGGATTCCAAATACTAATATTGATTTACTCTTTTCATTTTAGAGCTTACAAACGTGGGGATTGTCGACGAGGAGGTGAGAATGATTTCTTTATAATTTTATTTTTGCAGTAAATGAAAGGTTAATATCGTTAACTGTTTTTTTTAGATAAGTGCCGATTTTGGCACGCGTTACCAAGTGAGAAACAATACGCGCAACCCGAAGAGGCGGCGATTGCCGTTTGCGAGCCAAGCCTCTACACGTCAGAGCATGATGCCTTCAAGAAAAAGAAACTTAACTAAGAGTGTGAGGATGATTCTATTTATCGTTCATTTGCCCAATTTTCCCGTCGAATAATTATTTTCTATATAGTATCGATCAAATGCACATTCAGAAACGCTATTAGAATTTAATGTGCACTAAAAGCTACACTGGAAACAATTTATTCATTTGAATATGAAGAAATATCCATACAAGCACTTATGAAGCAAATCATTCCAACAGAAAAACACATTTTTGAGGCGGTCTGCAAATGGATTTCTCTGAGAAGCCGGCATTTTCCCGTTCGACTTACCGGGAAATCGTTGGTTTTGATTCGTTTTTCTTCAAAAAGTGCGTAATTTAGTCAGTACATGGAAAGCTGGCAGCAAGCCCCGGATCTCATCGCAGCTCGATCAGGTTTATTAACTTGGTCAGGTTTATTGACTAGAATAACAATTTTTAGACAAGCGCAACTTCACAAGAAGATTTTCAATATCCAAGGTAGGTTTTTACGACATGAAATGAATACGTATGTTTTTTTTAGCTTTCGTGATATCGAATGTGTTTTCCCTTTGGCTCTCTCAAAAGAAGATGTGGATATGGTTCGAGATTATCTCAAAAAGGACAAAGAAGTTAATGGAAGTGTTGAGGTTGTTTTATTATGAAAGGCATTTGTGTAACACAGCCTTTTGTAAGTGTTATTCACTCTTTGTATTTAGGACATGTTGCACTGGTTGTACGCTCATCGACACGAGATCAATAAACATTCTCAGCGAGTCGCACACGTTTTCAAGCTCTGTTCGGCGATGAATCGAGATCAAAGCGGCTAAATCAGTAACATTTTGAAGCTTTTATCAAATTTTCACTACTTTTTAGGCGATCTCTGCTCTTTCCGAGAATGGCATGCTGCCACAGAAGAAGCTGAACAATAGTACAAAAGTTAGTTTAACATTTTTAATGATACCCATACAATAAATCATTATTAATGAAGTGAAATAGATAATTTAGACAAAATCTGGCAGTACATAAGAATTGACATGATAGGTATGATATTCAAAAATTTCTTTAGTAATGTAACAACGATGGTTTACTGTATCTTATTGATTGCTTTATCTTTTTTAATTCTGAATATTTTAGATGAAGAAATTACAAGAATCTCACGATGATGACCTCATTTCGATGAATTCCTTCTCAAATTTGATTGCCGCGCTGATGATGGACTGCTATGGTCAATAGGTTAAAGAAGCTTTACTTATGATCTAGTTAAGGTTTTTTTTCGTTTCTTTGCGTTGGATGAGTGGTACTAATAAACATTTATCGGTTCATTAAAAGTTCTGTATGAATTTGTACAAACAAATCGGTTGAAACAAAGTTTGTTGGGACCTGGTTTTCTTTCTGTTTGGGGAGTTCTAACAGTTTCCGAAAAATCAGTAGATAACCCGAGAATTTTGAAAAAAGCACACGTAAAAAAATAGTAGAAATTCCGTTCAGAGAATAAAGATCAATTGGATAAGCAAGAGCAAAATGACTAGAGATTTTGTGCAAAGAAAGTAAAAACGAATGAAAAAATAATTCTGTAAATGATTGTGACAAATTTTAAATGACATATTCTGGGTTGACATCGTGTCCAGCCGGGAGATCGTTACCCTCTTCTGATGCAACGGAGGCCCGCTCTTCGGCGATTCGATCTTGAGCAACTAAACGTTTTTTTTATGGTGTTGATTTATTACTAAGTACCTTATTAGTCTTTTATTGAAATAGTTACAGAGATTTTTGAATATTCTATTTCCCTTACCACTTCCAGCTTGCGATGAGACTCGGGGTGCACGGGGGAGATGCGTGCGTCGTGGTGGTGGATGAGCTGAACCGGAGATAATCGAGGCATTGTCCTCCACACCGCTGTCCACTGTGCCATCTGAAAATTGGATCTCGTTGGGAAGAACGCGATTATGGATAAACTACTAATTTTCTGTGCTCTTAATACCCACCATCACCACGAGATGTTCTATTTGGATATGCATTTCGGAATGGTTTCGTTCTAGGTATATCTTTCGATAGATGTGCATCGATCGGTGGACTTCTTTTCTTTTCCACTTCCACATCTCCACTTTCAATTCTCAATCTTCCTTCATGTTCTGTGTCCGAGTGTTGCATTCTCTCCAAAGCGTCCTGGCGTTCCTCTTTATCCATGTACCAGATTGTGATAGCGAAGCTGAAATTTTGTGCTGATAACTTTGATCTACGTAATACAGTACACAGTTACGAGAGTATTGATTTTTGCATACCGATGTCTGTAGACGGGCATCACTTCGTGCGGATTTCGACGATCCGACCAAAAGAAAACTAAACGATCCGCTTTCGGGTCGACATCCATTGGCACTTCCGAGGTTTCCGGATAGAGACGAAGGGCTCCACCGTTCTGTAAAATTGAATTTAAATCTTGGATAAAAGATTTTGCTCACCCTATCAACATCCCAGTTCTCATTACAGTAGTAGATCGTCGTGATGCATCTGCCGTCTTTCATCGGATTGTCCACATGTTTTCTGAAAAAGAATCTATTTTTGTTAGGGTTATTTATTCTTTTTGTAATACAGTGCTTTAGGTCTGGCCATCGTGCCTCGAAACATCCTGAATAGTTGCCTCCAATCAAGCAAGGGAGTAAATAGTTGTGTGAGTTGATTTAGTGTTTTTTTAATATGTGAATTATTGTATTGTGCTATTGTGTAAATTATTTAACTTACACGTAGCGAGTGCCGTTGCCCGGATAGATTGCGATCATTGCCTAAAGTTTTGAAATTAAAGAACATATCAAAACTAAAGGTTTTATCAATGTGAATTCCGTTCAGGTAACTCACTCGACTCCGTCCGGCGATCGTGTACGGCGGAATGCGTTTGTTGAAATGAAGAATCACCGAGTCGATCATCGAAACGAGAAGCCGAACGGTGGCCGCGTCCTCGGCTCGTCGATCCGATCCGTCGAACCAGTAGATCTAAAGATTTCTTTTGAAAAACGATAACGCTTGGGTAAGTAATCAAAAAAGGAATCTTCTTGTAAACCCACATAATCTGATCGAATATCTCGAATATGATCTCCATCTCGACTTTTCCCATCGGCCACCTGTCCCGCCGTAAAAAGACCTCGATCATACAAGCGCTCGATTTCTCTGCAATTTGAGCAATTTATATAATTTATAAGAATTTAATTATATATTCAATTTTTATTTTGATTAAATAATTTAGTTACTCACTTGTACGTGAATTTGCACTGTTCGGAACCAAGGAAATTATCGACAACAGCCCAGCCGAACTCGTTCAACGCTCGGATCACATGCTCGGCGATATACTGAAGTTGAATTTTAAAAATAAGCATTTCAACGCAACTTATAAAATTTGCTTTATTTACCCACCCGTAGCCTCATGATCATCGATTGATGAGTGTTCAGCACAAGGCCCTTGTTCAACAAATGTTTCTGGTGTTCTTGCATGGTTGTCTAAAAGTTGGATAGAAAAGAGAAAAACTGTTGATTACCTTGTAGAGAATATTCCTCGAATGATCGATTTTCGGTTTTGCCGGTCGATCGCTGCCTTGAGCCCGTTTGCGACAACCACGAGACGGGCAAAAGCTCGATTGTGAAGTGGAATCGCCGGAGGAGCTGCCCGCAACTATCTAGAGAAAGGGGGATTCGTTTACAACTGTGCTTAGTTTATAGCTTAAAAAGCTGTTGCTTTGCATTTAGTGCTTTGTTGAGCTAAAGTAGGCAAAGAGTTTAAAAGTCTCCACCTGTATCTCGTCGTCGTCGTCCTGGCTGAGCGTCTTATTTGAAAGAGCCGATATGATCGGTTGAAGAGTGACCGAAGACGGAGTGGATGAAGTGGATGGACGAATTGAGACACTTGATGATGGATGAAGTGGATGAAGGCCAAGTGGACGGTGGGAAGAGGCTGAAGGGGTAAAGGGTTACAGTGAATCTTTGTAGGAAACGAACCAGTGGCTGCCAATTGTTGCAATGAGATCGACGATGAAGCGACGGGTTGTGAAGAGATTGATGAAGAGGCTACAGCTGATGAGGCGAGATGGGATTGATCGAGGGTGGGCACAGTGGAGGAGTGGTTTGTGAAGTTGTGTTGGGATATGGCTGAAATTGAAGGCTAAGTTTCCTTGTTCAAAATCATCATGTGACTATTTTAAAGTCTAGTCATGTCACTCGAAGCTGGATTCAGAGTTGGATTCAGAGCGAGATCTAGAGATCACTCGGGATTTCTTTTTTCGCAGAATTCCAAAGGTAAAAGTATTCAGTTTAGGTCAGTTTTAAGTACTAATGAGTTCAGTTACGAATCAAATTAGAATATTAAGACTTTGAAGATCTTTTCGCATGGCTAGACTTTGAAGAAGTTTGCATTTAAATCGCCCCTCATTTCTAATTCCCCACTAGACATTTCCCAGTGTTATCTGTCCCAAAAAAAAAACATTCACTTAGTCACGAATCTTTTGAGTGTTCATGATCATTTCAAAGTTCTCCGTGTTTTTCTTTGTTTTCTTTTTCCTCTCCACCGCAAATGTTCACCAATTTGCCCCGACGAGAAAAATCTCCGATTTCACGCCGACACACAAAAAAGACGTGCAACATTCGAGGAATTTTTTGCACAAAATTTTTTCCTTTGCTGGGGTGATTAGCTGAGAGAGAGAGAGAGAGAGAGTTTACGTGGAAATTTTGCGGTTTTCGGGGAGTGGGTGGAATGTAAGGTGATGATTTTCGGGGGAAGATAGGACAGAATTGGGAAAAATTTACACTTTTCCAACAGTGCTCAGAGCTTTCCTATTTGAACAAGGTTAAAGTTCGCACGAATCTTTTCCATTTTAGAAATCTAGATAGCTAGATATTGTACCAGATCCTGTGTATTTATATTAAACTTTCATGCGTTTAGAGTAAGCCAAGTAAGTAAGTAAGTAAGTAAGTAAGTAAGTAAAGCTATTGTAAGCCAAGTAAGCTTCACAGCTTGTCTTACTAAATTAAACTTTTCTACGGCATCAATATACAGTACTGGACAATGAAATATGATATTTGAAAAACAATCGTCACTTTCGCGCGTCTGTAACTCCCTTGTCTTTGAGTTTAAACTATTAGTGTTATGCATTTTCTGAAAGCTCTTTTCAAGGGCTACACAATGGTAATATTAATATTTAGAAATACGATAAAGACAAGAGAGTTATAGACGCGCGAAAGTGACGATCGTTTTTCAAATATTATATTTCATTGTCCAGTAGTGTAACTGCTATTCTTTGCTGAAAAATATGGTGGATTAAGTTTTTGCTCATAAACAACTCTCTTGTTTCCCTTGTTTCTTTCAGAATTCAAGGGAAATTGGACGTGCAAAGTTCTAGGCGGAGAAAAACGAAAACAAAAAAAACAAAAGGGGGAAACTCATGAGAGGAACTAAAAATTTTTTTTGGAGTAGTCAAAAAAGAAAAAAGGGAAAGAGAAGTGGAAGAAGTGAGCTCTCAAAGACCTCGCCCGGATATTTTTGTGTGTGTGAAGCACGTAAATGATGCATTGGCACGGATTCGTTGGGGGGAATTTTGGGAATTTTCGGCTCAAACATTGAGTCTTCCATTTGGTCCAAAGTTCATCTTTATTCGAGATTTATAGACAGTTTCAGTTCTCAAATTGCTCGAAGAAGATGATGACTGATCTTTTAGCTTGTTTTTGTGTAAAGCGATCTGTTTTTTGAGGGTTTTTTTTTGTTTGTAGAAAACAAGAGAGATTGAATCATGTTGTGGTCAACTCAAACAATTTGAGTAAGCAACAAAAAAAGTGCACACTTTTTTGTCAAGCACGTAAAGTGGTGAAGTGAACGGGAATAACGGGAAAAGGGGAAAACAACAGAAAGGATTTCCAAGTAATGCCTCTAAAAGAATCGTTCATTTTCAAAGATTTTTGTTGTCTCTTTGGAACTTTGGTTTATTTTAAAGTTTTTCTATAAGATTAGCATGAAATGCTTAGTCAAAAGAGTAATAGTAATGAGTTCTAGATTCTAGAAAAGTCAATATTAAGAGAGAAGATTAAGAGAGAAGATCTTCTAGATTTTCAGAGTTGTAAATTTTATACTTTTTCTAGTTCACAGGGACTTTCTATTTTCTAGGGTTTCCTTGATTTTAGAAAATTTTTTAGATGAGCAATGAGATTTTTGGTGTTTTGTGGGAAAAGAAGAGAATACAACGTGCATTTTGGACATTTTTTGAGGAAAGCTAGGGAGTAGTGTTGGGGAAAGGGAAAAGAGAGAAAAAGGGAATGTTCATCGATCAACACGATGAGATATTCTGAAAGGGAAAATGTGAAAAACGTCACGGAATAGCAAAAATATCAGGAAAAGCCGAGATTTTAGTTGAGCACTGAGAAATGCTACAGTTCAAGGCTATACGTTGATAGAATTTAGAAGTGGTGTTCAATTGCGCTAAGGATCTTCGCTCGAACTATGACCAATATTGAGTTAAGTGTTAGTTTTCTAAACTAGATGCCTTTTCGAAAGTGTTATTACAATATTACCATATTCTCTCTAATAGAGGTGCACTCTTTAATAGTATTGCACTCTCTAATAGTATTGCGGTCCAGGAGGGGTTGAAAAAATAGTAGTGCACTCCCGAAAATTTGAATTTCTGTTTGCTTCTTTTTCATCTAAACCTTTTCGACTTTATGTTTATGTGAAATTCTAAAGCTATTCAAGCAAGCAAAAGTGAGGCTTTTTTTATTCATTTATTAACTATTCTTCACATGAAAAAGTTAGCAAAAAAATCTAAAATTGTTGTGCAAAGTGCAAAAACATCTTTTTGTTGTTTGTCAAGACACAAATTACCAACTCGCCAGCCCACAACTGTATTTGAAAAGGAGCCAAAGGAGTACGTGAAAGAATGGCAAGAATTTTTGGAACAAATATCTGTCTTATATCTGTCTTATATCTGTCTTACTTTGGTAAATGATAAAACTCTTTAATAGTACTGCACTCTAATAGTATTGCGGTCCAGGAGGGGGTTCAAAAAATAGTAGTGCGCACTACTATTAGAGAGAATACGGTAATCAAGATTAATTTGCTTTTACAAATGTACGATGAATTTGAAGAGCTTTAAAACGACCTACCCGGTGGCGATGATCCGATCAGTGATGAGGGATGGGGAATTGAGATGCGAGAGCCGTCGCTTGATGCCTGCAAAGATTTAAATGGAAAAAGTTTTGCCTAAACTCTTGAGTCAAAACTTACACTGAATTTCCTTTGTCTGTCGATGAACATCCTCTCAACCTCGACTTGTCCTTCAATCTGGAAAAAAAAGATTATCTTTAAAATCTTTAAAATTGAATGCTTCCACTTAATATGCTGTATATTGGTATTATTTTTTTTAAAACAAACCCTGGCTCTTTCCTCAGCTTGTTGTGCTTGTTGAAGTTGCTGTATTCGTTGCTGAAAAGGCAATGTTTACTGTAGTTTCTTTTGTATTACTTGTTCCTCCAACAATATTTGTTGCTGTTGTTGTTGTTGTTGCTGTTGTTGTTGTTGTTGTTGTTGCTGTTGCTGTTGTTGTTGTTGTTGTTGTTGCTGCTGTTGCTGTTGTGGTTGGAATTGAATTTCTTGTTGTTCTCGTTGTTGTCTTTCGATGGCTTTTTGAAGAGCGATTGGCAGTGCTGAACCGATGAGGGGTGGGGGTGGAGCCGATTGGGTGGATGGGGTGGTGAGCGCCTGGAATTCGAGGGTTTTATATTACCAGGAAAGGTACAGTCAATCCAACCTGTAAAGCAGCAAGAAGATTCGCTTGGTTCAATGGTTGATTGATCGATTGCAATGTTGGTTGACACATGAACGACGAATTCGATCTTGCTTGAAGAAGTGAGAAAAGTGAAGCCATGTGATTGTCGATTTTCATTGGCTGGGGAGCGGGGAGACCACTCGGCGGTGCGGGGGCCAGCCCCAATGAAATGGTAGGGTTTGCAGCAGCCAAACTGGCGGCGATTTGATCAAGCTGAAAATGGGATAGATCAGTTAATTCGATGCAATAGGAGTTCAAGAGTAGCCTCTCCACAGTTCTACAGTTCTACCTCTTCACAGTTCTACAGTAAAACAGCCTCTACAGTTCTACAGTTCACTCACCAGTCCGGAGTTGAGTGATGCTTGGAGGTTGGCTTGTTGTTCGACCATTTCTCGGATTGAGATTGGTGGAGCTAGAAGAGAATTGGTTTTAGAAGTTTAAAAAAACGATTTTATTTTATTTTATGAAACTTACGAGCTGAGAAATCGGGATGTGGATGATTGTGTGGGTGTTGAGGAGGAGGGAGGCCTCTTGATGAAGAAGAGGATGACGATCCCGGATTCATCAGAGTCTAGAAATGAAAAGGGTTTATAGATAAAGGTTTTTGTTTTTTCTTTCGTAGCTCTCTGAATAGTTTCTGTTGCAAGTTTAGGCTAGAATTTAGTGCACAAGTTTAGGCTAGAATTTCGTGTATCAGATTCTTTCTCCTCCTCTTGATCGACTATTTTAGGTGCAAGGGTCGGTCCTCGTAAGACATAGGTCTTTGATTTCTCTTTGCAAACATAGAGAACATAGAGAAAACTTTTCCTTTATGTGTTAAAGTTCTGTTTGCGTGAAAATAAACCGCGATAAATCTTTCGAAAGTCTGTCGCTGATAATGGACAATGGAATAGTGAACAATGGAATAGTGGTTTGGTATTTCTAGTTCCTGGTTCACTCTAGTACTGATTACCTTAGTGCATTTATTGTAAATAGTTATAGATAAATAGCTTTAATCTAATAATCATTGGTGACTCGATAAATTCTCTGGATTACTGTAAGCACTGTTTACACTACATTGCCTCATTTTTTATTACTCAAATTTGACAGGACAAATACAATGAAAAGGGTTTGTAGATCATTATCATACAACGTACATTGTACAACGTACTACATTGTACTATTCAGTAAGCTACGAAAGAAAACGAAAGCCTGAGAGAAAGAGAACGAAAGTACAATGCTTTCGTTTTCTTTCGTAGCTTTCTGAATAGTACAATGTAGTACGTTCTACAATGATAACAATGATAACAAATAACCAGATGAGCTAGGAGATAAAATACCGTACTTAAAACCTTACTGTAAGCGTCGGTAAATTCTCAACAGAGTTAGACGCGACGCTGTCGAGGCTGATCGCCGAGAAGTGACCGGATGACCAACTGGAAATGGAAATAGAAATAGGAATTATGTAAAAAGTAATCTATAGAATTAGATTTCTCTTTGTCTACTCTTTACGAGTAAAAACAACATCAAAAAAATCGGGATTGGGACAAATGCAACCTTTTTTTTTGCGCACCCGGACATTTGCGCACCTTGCCCATTAGCGCACCTTTTTTCGCGTTTTAAAAAAGCTCTAAAAAGCTAATATTAATCAATTTCTATTCCAGAAGTTGTTTTTCTAGGTAATTTGAGGGTGTCGAATTCAATTTTTGACATAACAGAGCGTGCGGGGAACCAATTTGAAAGACAAAGCGACTAGATCAAATTACAGAAAATTGTCGATTTTTCTCTTTGTATAACTCCGTCCGTTTGTTTCCACACGCTCTGTTATGTCAAAATTTGAATTCGACACCCTAAAATTACCTAGAAAAACAACTTTTGGAATAGAAATTGGTTAATATTAGCTTTTTAGAGCTTTTTAAAACGCGAAAAAAGGTGCGCTAATGGGCAAGGTGCGGAAAAAAAGGTGCGTAAATGTCCGGGTGCGCAAAAAAAAGGTCGCATTTGTCCCACTCCCAAAAAAAATCAATAAACTCATTGGAACACAATCTGCAAAAAAAAGAAAAATCGTTTTTCATAAAGACAATTTTTAAAAACAAAATTTCCTTGGTTTTATATGGGACAGGTGAGGGGTTTTTTTTTCTTTGAGAGAAAAGACTCATTCAGTAGATTTATATGAATGAATATGAATGAGTCAGTAATGGAGAACAAATGCAAATAGCTAAATGATAGTCGATAAAAAGAAAAATGTGATTGATGTAGTTTTGAGTGATGAATTTACCTGCCGACCAATTGCGGTGAGAATCGACCGTTTCCTTTGCGCGTTTCGACAAATTGACAACACTTTGTCTTGTGTCTTGGCCAATCGAGAGTCTAGAAAATTGATGGATAATTACAAATTGTACAAATATTTTAAATCAATTTTAGCCTCAAAATCTTTGAAAGTAAAGAAAAATGATAGATAAAGATATTTAAAAAAGAGTTTATTGATAGTTTATTGATAGTTTATTGATAGTTTATTGATAGTTTATTGATAGTTTATTGATAGTTTATTCATAGTTTATTCATAGTTTATTCATAGTTTATTGATAGTTTATTGATAGTTTATTGATAGTTTATTGATAGTTTATTGATAGTTTATTGATAGTTTATTGATAGTTTATTGATAGTTTATTGATAGTTTATTGATAGTTTATTGATAGTTTATTGATAGTTTATTCATAGTTTATTCATAGTTTATTCATAGTTTATTCATAGTTTATTCATAGTTTATTCATAGTTTATTCATAGTTTATTCATAGTTTATTCATAGTTTATTCATAGTTTAAAAGTTTCCTTTTGATTTGAAGAAGAAGTTTTGTAGAAAAAGAAAATAAATGAAAAATTGAGTTCAAGAATTTTTGAAAGTTTTTTTTTTTGTAAAACTTCATGGGAAAGCTGAGGAAAAATGGTGAATAATAGTCGGCTTGTTTTCCACGAAAAAGGAAAGAAGGGAAGAAAGAAAGAAGGAAAGAAGGAAAGAGGGGAGGAAGGGAAGAAGGAAAGAAGGGAAGAAGGGAAGAAGGGAAGAAGGGCAGAAGGAAAGAAGAAAAGTTTTGTCTATTTTGCAAACTAAGAAAAAAGTGATTTAATAGAAAAAGCGATCCATGTGACTTTGTCCGGGAATTATCAGCAAAAAGGAAAAAAGAGAATGATCGAGATAAAAAAAATTCGGAAACCCGTGAAAAACGGGGGGGAATTAGCACGTAGTAGGGTCAGAAAGAAGAAGAATCTGGGAGAATCGGAGAAATAAGGGAAAGAATGGGAAAATGAAACTTTTTCGGATAAACAATCTGCTACGAATTGAGTGCTCCGCGAAGAAACTTGAGCTTGAACTTGAACTTAGGTAAGGAACTTTTGTCGATAAAGTAGCAGTATCCTAATGATCTTGTTTGATGGTTGCAGAAGTTATTGCAGAATTGAAAACCAAATACATTAGAATATTCAGCTTATCTGTGGTGCTCAGGCTTTGCCTAGTAAAGTCTCGTTTAGAAAAGTCTAGAAAGAAAAGTACCGGCTAGTCTAGGGTTATGGCCAGCTTTAGGTCACAGGGTAAGGCTAGGGTTGGACAGGGTCAAAACCAGCCAGAAGCCAGGTCCAGGCTTTGCTTCTGACGAACTCAGGGCTTCTTTGTGAGTCAGGATTGCAGTAAAGCTAGGGTTGGGCTGGTCAAGACCTGGCTACCAACCGGAAAAAGCATTCATCTGCCTATATTAATACTGAATTCATCCTAATATTCTGTATTCTGCAAAGAGAACCCTAATCCCCGACATTCTATTTCATAAAAACAAGCCAAAAAAAAGTGATTTTCAAAGTGACACCAAAGATTAGCAGACAGGGGAGGAAAGCTTAACATCGAAATGACAAAAATGGCACGTTTTTTAATCGAAAAAAGGGAAAATAGAGATTTGAGAAAACTTGGCAAAAAGATAGATCAAAGAACTGCTGAAAAAAAGGTTGATAAAGGTTTGAAATCGAGAAAAAAATGGATGAGAAAGGAGAGATTCCCAGAGATCGAACGAGGAACTGGCAAAGGAAAAGTGGGAAAAGTGGGAAAAGGTGGGGCGAAGAAATGGGGAATTTGGGTCATCGAGTACTCCCAAAATGGGGGGATATTTATAGTTTGGGCGAGGGGGGAAAGTGCTAAAAATGAATGGGTGCATTTTTGAGGCAATAAAAAAAAAGCTTAATGGTTGAGAGTGTGGCTCTGGGAAAACATGAGATCTATGTGCTCGGATTTCTAGTTTTTTTCTAAAGATTATCAATGTTTTTGATTAAAAACATATAAAGAAATCTTTCTTTTATCTTTATAAGTTTTTTGGACAAATAATTGACTATAATTTGATTTGTTTTAAGTTGTTTACCAACATAACCTGGTCAACTACTTACCAGAAGCTAGTCAACTACCTACCAGAAGCTGGTCAACTACTTACCTACAGAAGTCAAGCTTGACGGCTTATATCTCGAGGTACAAGCATTGGATCGACTTACGATTGATTTGAAAAGAATCCTCATCAAATTTGGCTTTTAAAAAAGTGCAATTTCTTTTGTATACCTGTAAGAAGATCGAGAAAAACGGCGTCGAAAACTAATCAACATTTCCACAAGTTCATTTCAGTATTTTTATGCTTTTCCGTGACTCAAAGGATTACTTGGGAATGCTTGAAAAATGTGTAAAATTTTGAAAACTATCGTAAATTTTGACTCTAAAAATTCTCACAAGCAAAAGAGTCTGATAGAAGATGGAGAGATTTTCGAAAACGCGAAGAACATTCGAATTTGAAAGTCACTCAATCTTTTCCCAAAACTAGAAGCAATCAAATGAACGAGAAGAACATTCTAATTTGAAAGTCATTCAAAATTCAACGAGAAGAACATTCTAATTTGAAAGTCGCTTAATCTTTTTCCAAAACTAGAAGCAATCAAATGAATGAGGTGATTAATTTTATGCACTTTTGCAAAACGCAAAATGCAAACGCATTTCTCGACTAGCTCACCTCGAATCCAGTCACGAGATCGAGGAAAGAGAAAGATTGTAATTGTATTGTTATTGTAAAAATAGTTTTTATAGAAAATCGGCTAAAAAGAAGAGATTATTATAATATGTTGGGAAACAAGAAAACAATGTAAAGTAAAATTATCACAAGATTTGTGAAAAATTGAAAGAAAAGAGACTATTTACAGGAGAATTGTGTTTGTAGAAGTGGCGGATTTTTAGAAAAAAAGGGGAAGGTCAAAGAATCTCTGAAGAATGGGGAAATGGAATGGAAAATATTTTTCGTCTTTTATTTTCAACATTAAAGAGGAAAGTTGGTTTTAGGTGAGGTTTTAAAGAAATCTGTAGATAGATAGATAGATAGATAGATAGATAGATTGATAGATAGATTGATAGATAGATAGATAGATAGATAGATAGATAGATTGATAGATAGATTGATAGATAGATTGATAGATAGATAGATAGATAGATTGATAGATAGATTGATAGATAGATTGATAGATAGATTGATAGATAGATTGATAGATAGATAGATAGATAGATAGGTAGATAGATAGGTAGATAGATAGGTAGATAGATAGATAGATAGATAGATTGATAGATAGATTGATAGATAGATTGATAGATAGATAGATTGATAGATAGATAGATAGATTGATAGATAGGTAGATAGATAGATAGATAGGTAGATAGATAGATAGATAGGTAGATAGGTAGATAGATAGGTAGATAGGTAGATAGGTAGATAGATAGGTAGATAGGTAGATAGATTGATAAATATTCGAGAAAAGATATAGTTTTATCTATTTTCTTCTCTAATTTGAAAAGAAAGAGAAAAAACTACAAGTGTTTGCAGTGCAACTAATTTAACTCACTAGTTTAACTAACTAATTTACATACATTTCACTTTTACATTAAGCGATAAGCGAATCGAGATCAAAGCGGTTAAATAAGATAAGATTTTGAACATTCTAATGTAAAATTTACGCTTTATATAGATGAATTTAAAGCTTTTGAGTGATTCAAGTTCACCAAAGAACACTTCGACATGAGAATATCACCTTTTTTGTTTGTTTTAGAGTATTACTTTTTACAATGACTATCGAACTTTGAGAACTTAGATGATATCAACTTTTTACGAACTTTATTTACTTTAATCATCTGAACATTTTCGAGCTAAATAAGCTCTTTTTAATTGCTTAATCTGAAATTGAAGTTATTTTGTTCAATTACGAGATAAAGAAATGCAAAAAAAAGAAAGCAAAATATTTAGCAAAGATTCATTTTGATGGTTTTGATAAAATTTTGAATGATTTGAGATTTCTAAAAATGAAATCTAGAAAGATATTCGCTTTCTGTCTTTAGATATATTTAATTAAGTGAGTTTACACTAGCTTTCAAAGGTGACACGGTTTTTGAAGGGTTTTAGAAATTCAAATGATTAAATGATTAATGCTGCTGAGTCTAGGTGGGATTTGTACTTTTTCAATGATTGCTCAAATTGCAAAACTACAATCGCATACGCGATTTTGAATTGTTTTCGTGAAAAGATCAAAGTTTATCGAAATGTATTTACATAGTTTTAGTTGCAAAAAAGGTGGATTTGGATAAAGAATACGGTTATTTACAAGTTTAGCACATTGGTTCTTTGTAAAAAATTTGATCAAAGTTTAGCAAATTTTATAGAAAATTCCATTTTTAAGTGAGAAAGATAAAGAAAAGATGTGAAAAATGAGTTTGTGTTTTAAAAAAATCTGAATTCATTATTTGTTTTTGCCAGGGGAAAATAAGAGAAAGAAGTGAGGTGGAATGAGGTATAAAAGAAGCTATGAAGCTATGAAGCTAAAGAAGCTATGAAAGAAGCTATGAAGCTATGAAAGAGGCTATGAAGCTATGAAAGAAGCTATGAAGCTAAAGAAGCTAATCGTTATTTGAAAATTTGTCTGTTTGCAAGAGAAATAAGGATGAGAAGTGACTGGAAAAAGTTTGTGCGATAGTTGAAATATTAGATGAGCTGCAATTCAGCTTACTCAAGTTGCTTGTTTGTGAGACATGTGCGGAGAAACACGAAGAAAACTTTGAGGAAAGCATTCATCTAATTGAAAAGTATGTTTTTTTTCTTGAAATAAAAACTCTTTTAAATGTGAAATCTGAAAATAAAGCTCATTTTCTCTAAACGTCGACACTTTATAGGTTAACTGAAATAACGAAAAATTTACATACAAAGTGGATTTGGATTTTGGATAAAGAATACGGTGATTTCCAAGTTTAGTACATTAGTACACTAGTACATTAGTACAGCACATTGTTCTTCGTCAAAAGCTTGGCCAAAGTT